CCCCAAAACCCCAAAACCCCAAAACCCCAAAACCCCACGTTCAGTCTCAATTGTATAAATATTTTAGAAGTACTGGGAATGGGCAGCCTGTGCAGTAACGAAGGTGAAGTAGAAGTAGGACATACTGAGTTGAAGAGTAAGTGGAGAAGGACATTTTTAGAGAAGAAGACTAAGCCAAGCTTCAAGCCAGAAATGGTAGAGCAAGATGAACTCTATTCAGAGTTTTCAGGGTCGGACTGGGAAGGTAGGAGTTGTGAGTGAGAGTTTAGATTCTGACTTTGGTGATGTGGATACCAAGCCGAGCTTTCATAGGAGAGGGTATAAGAAGAATATGTTTAAGCAGGATGTGTATGAATGGATAGAGGACAACTTAGAGTAAGCCGAAAGCTGGAGAATTGCTGGTAGAATTTTTGGAAGTAGCGGCTAATGGGAGTTTTTTATGAAAATTTTCAGAATTTAATCAAATTACAGTTTCATATAATCATTTTTGTGTATGGTCATATGTATAATCTTATATAGATCCAAGGAGGCCCTTAAGAGATTTAAAAAGCTAGGACCGTTCATGATCAAAACTCGGGATAATGGGGCAAAAAGAAATAATTTTGGCTACAAAGCCCAAAAGCAGCTTGAGTATATCTCTTTCATTGATATTTAGTTATTTCGGTGAGATACAAGGCAGCAAAAGATCTGGAAGAGGAGTATTTATTAGGAACGGGACTGGTAATCGACTTAGTTAACCCCTAGACTTGTATGAAGGGTTTTTGAAGAACAATAAGCCTGATGGAAGAGGCCGACTCATATACGTAAGTATACATTCTAATGAATAGAACAACGGAGATATATATCAAGGTAAGTGGTGAACTGATGACGTTGCACAGGCGATTTCGAAAATGGTAAGCTACTCCTCCTCATTCTTAGGCAATTACTGAGGATATGGCAAAAAGGTGTCCAAGAAGTACTTCAGACAAGGAGAATTTAATGAAGGAAAGCTTAATGGAAATGCTCTCGAGATGTAATGACTTCTTGTTCACCAATTTAGATCTAAGATTTCGCCGAAAGATAAGTATTATGGAGAATTTTCGAATGATAAAAAGCACGGTACTGGAGAAATGTATTTCGAGAATGGAGATGTTTATAAGGGTGGCTTTAAGAATAACAAATTCCATGGCCAAGGTAATCCTTAGTATCAGCTTTAGGAACCATGAATTTTAAAAATGGTGATACTTACACAGGTAATTTCGAAAGAGGCATGAGACACGGTTATGGAAGATACAGCTTTAAATCAGGCAAACTCTATGCTGGAAATTTCAAAGATAGTAACTCTCATAACCTGACCTTATAGACATGTTCCACGGTGAAGGAACTCTTACAAAGAAGGATGGTAATACCTATGAAGGAATGTTCAGAAATGGTAAAAAACACGGTCAAGGCTATCATATCGACAGAAAGAATAATAAAACAAAAGTTAAATATGTCGATGGAGAGCAAGTCTAAAATAATTGATTTCTTAAATGCAAGAATAAGTCAAAACTATTGGGTCAACATAATCATCTGCTATGGGGTTTTGGGGTTTTGGGGTTTTGGGGTTTTGGGGTTTTGGGG